GAGGGAAGGTTGGCCACAGCAACGCGTGGCGGGTAAAGGTTGTTATTTCTATTATTATTATGCTATTATTCCTATGAGACCCTTTTAGGGGGAATGGGAGAGGTGTCAGGTCCCAGAGGCAATGCATTGCATTATTGTTATTGTTATGATGGTGGTGAAATAAAAGGAAATAAAAAGAGAAAGAAGGAAGCAAACAGGGAGGGAAGAAAGGCAAAGGAAGAAAGGGGGAGGGAATGAAGGAAAGAGAGAAGGATGAAACCAAATAGTGAAAGAAGGAAAGAAAGAAAGAGGTAGAGAAGGAAGAAAGGAGAGAAAGGGGGAGGAAAAGGGGGAAGGAATAGGTAGGTACCTCTCTTTCATAATAGTCCAGATATCTACCTCAACTTTGATAAGTTTTACTATAGGCCACAGCAACGCGTGGCAGGGCACAGCTAGTCACCCATAAAAACACAGAAAAACACTGCGGAAGAGACTTCAAAAGCCAAAAAAGCAAAAAGACATTACAGTGCATGCGCAAAAACGACTCCCCTGGCAAACAAAACACGCAATAGCATATCCACACTCTCCTTCAGACCACAGCTCCCAGCATCCCAAAGACCAGGCCCTTTAGGAGAGGAGGATGATCCAAATGTACTGCTTCCAAGATGCATGCTTTCTTCTCCTTGGATTTCTTTGAGAGCATCCCAGTCCCTGCATATTTCCAATTTCCTATTCCTGGACTGCAGCTCCCAGCAATCCTCCAGATAGATAGATTAGATATAGATAGGTAGTTAGATAGATCGATCAGGAGGACTGCTGGGAATTGAAGTCCAAGAATAGGTAGAGAAGGAAGAAAGGAGAGAATGAAAGAAAAAAAGGGAAGGAAGGAAGGAGAGAAAGAAAGAAGGAGAGAAAGAGGAAGGTTGGCCACAGCAACAGGTGGTGGGTACAGCTAGTGTATATATTCCTATATAAATAAAAATGTAATGTTTATTTGTGGGATTAACATAACTTAAAAACCACTGGACAAATTGACATGAAATTTGGACACTACACCCCTAATAGACCAACGAGTGACCATCATTCATAAACCCCTCCCAAAATTAGCAGAAACCCAAAAAAGCTAAATGACGATAGAGCGCATGTGCAAAAACAACAGCTCCCAGCACCCGCTAGACCAGACCCCTTATGAGAGGAGGATGCTCCAAATGTTCTGCTTCCAAGCTGCAAGCTTACTTCTCCTTGGATTTCTTTGAGAGCATCCCAATCTGTACATATTTCTTATTTCTTATTCCTGGACTACAACTCCTAGCAATCCTCCAGATAGATAAGAGAGATAGATTACATAGAGATAGATAGTAAGTAGATAGATCAGCCAGGAGGACTGCTGGGAGTTACAGTCCATGAATAGGTAGAGAAGGAAAAAAGGAGAAAAAGAAAAATGGAGGAGAAGGAAGGAAAGACGTAGAGAAGGAAGGAAGGAGAGAAAGAAAGGAAGGAAGGGAGGGAGGGAGGAAGGGAGGAAGGGAAGAGGGAGGGTTGGGAAGGAAGGAGAGAAAGAAAGAATGAGAGAAAGAGGGAGGGAAGGTTGGCCATAGCAACTTGTGGCAGGTACAGCTAGTGTGTGTGTGTGTGTGTGTGTCTGTGTGTGTGTGTATGTGTGTGTATGTAATGTCCGCTTGTGGGATTAACATAACTCAAAAACCACTGCACCCACCTCCTCCAAGATGAACTGAACCACCTCAACTGGGCTCTCCAGGCCAATGGATACTCCACCTCAGACATCAGAAGAGCTGCAAGACCGAGAACAAGCCACGAGAGTAAAGATGAAGATCCACCCAGAGGAAAAGTGTTCTTGCCATACATCAAGGGAACCACTGACCGCATAGGGAAGCTGATGAGGAAACACAACATACAAACCACCTACAGACCCACCAAGAAAATCCAGCAAATGCTACGTTCAGCAAAGGACAAGAGGGATCCTCTCGCTTCTGCAGGAGTCTACCGTACTCCATGCAGCTGTGGACAAGTCTACATAGGGACCACCAAATGCAGCATTGTCCAAACACGAATCAAGGGACGTGAAAGGCACTGCAGACTTCTTCAACCAGAGAAATCAGCCATAGCAGAGCACCTGATGAACCAACCTGGACACAGCATTTTATTTGAGAACACAGAAATGCTGGACCACTCTCACAACCACCATGTCAGACTACACAGAGAAGCCATTGAAATACACAAGCATGTGGACAATTTCAACAGAAAGGAAGAAACCATGAAAATGAACAAAATCTGGCTACCAGTATTAAAAAAACTCAAAAATTACAACAGCAAAACAACAGAGAGTAAACAATCAGGCACATTAAATCACCTCTCAGAGAAAGATTCCTTCAGGCACTTCCAAGCCATTAAATGCTAATCAAGGTGGTCAGTTGAAACATTCACACCTAGCTCCAGCAGACAAGAGTTCTTTGTCCCACCCTGGTCTTTCCACAGATATATAAACCCATTTTCCTACTTCCAACAGACCTCACTACCTCTGAGGATGCTTGTCATAGATGCAGGCGAAACGTCAGGAGAAAATGCCTCTAGACCATAGCCATACAGCCTAAAAAACCTACAACAACCCACTGGCTGAATTGACACCAAATTTGGACACAATATATCTATCAGGGCAACAAATGACCATCACTCCTAAAAACACTGAAAAGCACAGTGGAAGAGACTTAAAAAGCCAAAAAATAAATATACATTACAATGCATGCGCAAAACCATATATACACATATACACAAATATATACACACAAAACACATATACACAGACTGGGCCACAGCAACACGTGGCATGGGACGGCTTGTGTGTGTGTGTGTGTATAGGGATTTATCCACCTCCTCTCTCTCTCTCTCTTTCTCTCTCTCTCTCTCTCTATATATATATATATGGAGGTGGATAAATCCCCATTGTCCCCAGGTCTGCCTTGAGAGAAACAGAAAAGCTGAGACATCATTTACATTGCCATACAATCCAGTTTCTGAATGCTGATTATCTGCTTTAAACTGGATTATATCTCAGTGTAGATGCAGATGTTAAAGCAGACAACACTATGTAACAAAATTTGAAAAAAAAAAACTGTTCCTGGTCCGAAAGTGTCATTTCCTGTGCGGTACTTACTTTGAAAGTAGTTGTTATACTCCAGAAACGTCGTTTTTGTGGCTGCCACCAACTATCTTGAATTGGATGAGGCTCCATGGGCCCTTCTACACAGCCCTATACCCCAGAATACTACTTACTTACTTACTTAGGCGATCCCTCATAGTTCGAGTAGGATTGTCATCCAAGATCAGTGTCCTGGCGATGGGTTTGTAGGTGACTGTGGAGCCCTATTCTTGATCTGCATCTTCTCCCGCAGTGAGGGCGTTGGTTTCGAGGTGGAAGGCGGTCCCGGTTGGGGTTGGCTTGATGCACGTTTCTTTCTTTCGCCCTCCATTCGTGCCTCTTCAAATTCTACAGCACTGCTGGTCACAGCTGACCTCCAGCTGGAGTGCTCAAGGGTCAGGGCTTCCCAGTTCTCAGTGTCTATGCCCCAGAATATCAAGACAGAAAATCCCAAAATATCTGCTTTGTTGGGTTGTTGTAGGTTTTTTCGGGCTGTATGGCCATGGTCTAGAGGCATTCTCTCCTGACGTTTCGCCTGCCTCTATGGCAAGCATCCTCAGAGGTAGTGAGGTCTGTTGGAACTAGGAAAAAGGGTTTATATATTTGTGGAATGACCAGGGTGAGACAAAGAACTCTTGTCTGCTGGAGCTAGCTGTGAATGTTTCAACTGCTTTGTACTGGGATACATGGCAGTGTGGACTCAGATAACCCAGTATTTATTTGTCATGTCAGAGCAGCTAGTCCATTATATTACATTTCTAACAGAACAAAGCAAACAAACAGAAAAATACACAACTTGTGAGTTTGGTAGCTGGTTAAATGTCCTTTGACCAGTATCTGGCCACTTGGAGTGCTCTGGTGTTGCTGCAAGAAGGTCCTCCATTGTGCATGTGGCAGGGCTCAGGTTGCATTGCAGCAGGTGGTCAGTGGTTTGCTCTTCTCCACACTTGCATGTCGGATTCCACTTTGTAGCCCCATTTCTGAAGGTTGGCTCTGCATCTCGTGGTGCCAGAGCGCAGTCTGTTCATGCCTTCCAAGTCGCCCCGTCTTCTGTGTGCCCAGGGGGGAGTCTCTCATTTTGCATACAACTGAATAAAATCCCACATTTTCTGCTTTGGCAGTGTGAACTCAGATAACCCAGTTCAAGGCAGATATTGTGGGATTGTCTGTCTTGATATTCTGGGTTATAGAGCTGTGTGGAAGGGCCCTAGGAATTTGAGAAGGTCCTCCATGGTGCATGTGGCAGGGCTCAGGTTGCATTGCAGCACGTGGTCTGTGCTTTGCTCCTCTCCACACTCGCGTATCTTGGATTCCACTTTGTAGCCCCATTTCTGAAGGTTGGCTCTGCATCTCGTGGTGCCAGAGCGCAGTCTGTTCAGTGCCTTCCAAGTCGCCCAGTCTTCTGTGTGCCCAGGAGGGAGTCTCTCATTTGGTATCAGCCATTGGTTGAGGTGCTGGGTTTGAGCCTGCCACTTTTGGACTCTCGCTTGCTGAGGTGTTCCAGCGAGTGTCTCTGTAGATCTTCAAAGCAGATATTGTGGGATTTCCTGTCTTGATATTCTGGGTTATAGGGCTGTGTGGAAGGGCCCCAAGAGAGATTCATTGAAAACTATAAAAGCAACATGTGCTGCAGGATGTCCCGCAAAAAGACAAAGTTTTTGCAGTTTAAGAAACTTTCCCCACGTTTTTATGATAGAACCAATTAGGAGGAGATGACATTTATAAGCCAGGAACAGAAAGCGTGTTACACAGTGTCAGGAAAGGCTTAGGAGAGCTTTTTGTTTCCTGGGCCATCCACATTGGAGCCCCCTCCCAAACTAAAAGCAGCCCTGATGATTGACAGGCCACTTCCCACTGGGCTCACCTTGGGGGTCCAGGCGACGCCACCATGGGGCTCCTTGTTCTCTTCGTCTCTCTCTCTCTCTCTCTCTCTCTCTCTCTCTCTGGCCGGCTCCGGATCGTAAACAGAGCCTCTCCACGCATCCGGTCATGAGACCAGGAAGGGTGGCTTTGTCCTCGCGTCACGTGTGAAGGGCGGGATTACATCAAGAGAGAGAGATCCGGGGAGAAAGGGAGCTTGTGTCAGACCTCCACTGGAGAGTGAATGCAGCTTGACACTGTTTGATCTGCTCTAGCTCAATGCGAGGCAACCCTGGGGGGAGTTGTAGCTCTGCAAGGTCTGTAGCCTTCTCTGGGGCCTCACCAAACTACAGCTCCCAGGATCCCATTGCACTGAGCCAGGGCAGCCCCAGGGCTGTCAAATTGCATTCTTTCTCCAGTGTAGAGGTTGCCAAAGGGACAGCACCTTGCAATCTTCATATTCGCCAGTTATGTCTTACAGGCATAATAACAGTAGTAGTAGTAGTAGTAGTAGTAGTAGTAGTAATAGAATCATAAGAGTTGGAAACCTCATGGGCCATCCAGTCCAACCCCCTGTCAAGAAGCAGGAATATTGCATTCAAATCACCCCTGACAGATGGCCATCCAGCCTCTGCTTAAAAGCTTCCAATGAAGGAGCCTCCACCACACTCTGGGGCAGAGAGTTCCACTGCTGAACGGCTCTCACAGTCAGGAAGTTCTTCCTCATGTTCAGATGGAATCTCCTTTCTTGTAGTTTGAGGCCCTTCATCTAAGTCATTAATAAAGATGTTGAACAGGACCGGGCCCAGGATGGAACCCCGCTTGTGGCACTCCGCTCGTCACTTCTTTCCAGGATGAAGAGGAAGCATTGGGGAGAATCATCCTCTGTGTTCGTCCACTTAACCAATTCCAGATCCACCTCACCGTAGTTTTGCCTAGCCCACATTGGACTAGTTTCCTTGCCAGAAGGTCGTGGGGGACCTTGTCAAAGGCCTTACTGAAAGCCAGGTACGCTACATCCATGGTATTCCCCGCATTTATCCATCTTGTAACTCTATCGAAAAAAGAGATCAGATTAGTCTGGCATGACCTGTTTTTGATAAATCCATGTTGACTATTAGCGATGACTGCATTTGTTTCTAAGTGTTTGCAGACAACTTCCTTAACAATCTTTTCCAGAATCTTGCCTGGTATCGATGTGAGGCTGACCAGACGGTAGTTGTTTGGGTCATCCTTTTTTCCCTTCTTGAAGATTGGGACCACGTTGTCCCTCCTCCAATCTGCTGGAACTTCTCCTGTTCTCCAAGAACTCTCAAAGATGGTTGCCAATGGTTCCGAAATGACTTCCGCTAGTTCCTTCAATACTCTTGGGTGTAGTTGATCTGGCCCTGGGGACTTGAACTCATTTAGAGCGGCCAGGTATTCCTGGATGAATTGTTTCCCAATTTAGGGTTGGATGTCCTCTAATCCCTCATCCACTCCATCTTGCTGAGGTTGAAGATGACTTTCTTTTTGTGAGAAGACTGAGGCAAAGAAGGCATTAAGTAGTTCTGCCTTTTCCCTATCCCCTGTCAGCATAACAACAACATATGTCACAAGTATGTTTGCTTTCTGCTTAACTGTTTTTATTTGCTAGGTATTGTACTGTTGTATTGTTGTATTGTTTTGGGCTTCGGCCTACTGTAAGCCGCATCGAATCCTCTGGGAGATGCTAGCGGGGTACAAATAAAGTTATAATAATAATAATAATAATAATAATAATAATAATAAGTACCACCTGCCAGCAGCAAAGAATTGGTGGGATCATAAACCCGTAAAGGTCATGGAAAATGAACATGCAAAAATACTGTGGGACTATCAAATCCAGACTGACAAAGTTTTGGAACACAATACACCAGACATCATGATTGTGGAAAAGAAAAAAGTCTGAATTATTGATGTTGCCATACCAGGTGACAGCCACATTGAGGAAAAACAACAGTAAAAACTCAGCCGCTATCAAGACCTCAAAATCGAACTTCAAAGGCTCTGGCATAAATCAGTACAGGTGGTCCCAGTGGTCATTGGCGCACTGGGTGCCATGCCAAAAGATCTCAGCCGGCATTTGGAAGCAATAAACATTGACAAAATCACGATCTGTCAACTGCAAAAGGCCACCTTACTTGGGTCTGTGCGCATCGTTCGAAAATATTGCCTATTACAGGGAAAACCAGCTGATCCCTAATCCATCTAAAACACAGACGTGTGCCTTTCACCTTAAGAACAGACAAGCATCCCTAGCTCTGAGGATTACCTGGGAAGGGATCCCACTGGAGCATTGCAGCACACCCAAATACCTGGCAGTCACTCTGGACCGTGCCCTGACCTACAAGAAGCACTGCCTGAATATCAAGCAAAAGGTGGGTGCTAGAAACAATATCATACAAAAGGTGACTGGCACAACCTGGGGATCACAACCAGACACTGTGAAGACATCTGCCCTTGCGCTATGCTACTCTGCTGCTGAGTATGCATGCCCAGTGTGGAACACATCTCACCACACTAAAACAGTAGATGTGGCTCTTAATGAGATATGCCGCATTATCACAGGGTGTCTGTGCCCTACACCACTGGAGAAATTACACCGTTTAGCCGGTATTGCACCACCTGACATCCGCCGGGAAGTAGCAGCCAATAGTGAAAGGACCAAGGCAGTGACATCTCCAGCTCATCCCCTGTTTGGCTATCAGCCAGCACGTCAACGACTTAAATCAAGAAATAGTTTTCTTGATTAAACAGAGGCTGGATGGCCATCTGTCAGGGGTGCTTTGATTACAATATTCCTGCTTCTTGGCAAGGGGTTGAACTGGATGGCCCACAAGTCTCTTCCAACTCTATGATTCTTATTACAGATTATCTGGCAGTGGCGACTCATATAATCCATTTTAAAGCAGATAATCTAGCATTAGATCCCGCCAATACCTGCTGTTTAGGATCTTGTATATGTTCAACACAAAGGTTGTCTTACACTGTTAATATGCAATTCTGCATGTGAAGAGTTGTGCTGCACAATGCCAATGAAGAATCTTGACCCATGCCTGCTAATTAGAAGTTGAGATTATAATTATTATCTATAAACTACTTCCAAAATGATCTTCTGTAAGCTCAGCACTGCCCTCTGCCCAGGCTGATAGCTGAAGCTCTGTCTTGAATCTGTGGTTGGTTGAAAAAATTGTGGAGCTTTAGAATGCTTCTTTTTACTTGTTTGCCTTTTTCATTTGAAATTTAAAAACCCCATCTTACTAACCTATTGTTTAAAAAATTGTCTGTGAAATTTCACTGTCCTGTTGAAAACTGAGTGAAACAAAAGTAATGCAACATAAGACACCTCTCATGCTGCAATCAGAAGGGTAACATTGTAAAAGGCAGGGCTTAACTGCCTATAGATGCAGTTGTTCCCCCTTCAAGACTCTTACCTGGTGTGGGACTGTGACACTTCGAGAAAGAATGACTTTATAACTGAATTAAAAGCAAGCATTCTAGTACTTTACAGATGAAAACTGGAAGAACACACCTTTGTCACAAGAAATTTAATGTGCAGATTTGACAAATATGAATTTAATATGATGTGTGGGAATGAATGTAAAAATGGAAGTTGTATGGTTGGAGTTAATAATTTTGGAAACACCAGTATAATATTAAAGCCTGCAATGACTAACTACCTGCTTGCTGAAACTGTGATCAAAACCTGCTAATGAGAATTGATAAGAACTGTGACAATGGTTCTTTCAAGTTAAGGAAATGTTTGCACCATTCCTTATGTTAAGAAGGAAGTCAACATAAGATCAACACCAATCATGAAGATCAACATCTGGCCAGGAAACTGAGAGGGAGCTAGGATGGAAGATGTCTATTATTAATTTACAACTTTGGGACTACATGAGCAGAATATTCCTATAAAAGACTCAGTCTAATAATGCTCAAAGTGTGACCGACCTGAGGAGTCTGTTCCACCTACTATGCTCTGCTCCATGGGAAGGAGAGATATGGTGTAGCTAAGGAGAGTGACAGATATGCTATGGGAAAGCATGATTCTAGTCACTTTGGGGCTTCTTTCTCAAGGGAAGAGGAAGAAGTGCGCTTTCGGAGTCTTGGATTTTGTGCAGGGAGTCAGGTTCTGCTGTATGGAAAACAGAGATCTGGTCCTTGGCATTGTTCTTAGGGAAAGAAGTTTTGGCATTTTGGCGTTTTGAAGTTTTGGTGTTATGCAAGTTTTGGAACTATGCATTGGCAGGCTGCAAGAAATTAGGGTCTGGCTTAACAGGTGCTTCTCCAAGGAGGGAGAAAATGATATGGTAATACTTGAATGCCTGAGGATGAATGCTTGTACATGTGGTGTGAATGTTGAGTGAAAATGTAATTCCCCTTTGTTTGTTAACCAATGTAATTGTAAATCCAATTTAGTTGCATAGAATCTGTATGTCTGTATATCCAATGTCACTCTTTGTCTAAACGTTTTCTGAAATCTGATATACCTTCTCACACTGGAAATTGCAATAAAAAGAACCTATGCTTCAAAGTTATTGAAAAGTCATTCATGACACCTTCATTTTGACATCTGTTTCCAAATGTGGTTTGTTTCCAAATGTGGTTTGATCCTGTGCATGCATATTTACTGGCTCATACTGGCAACATGTTAAGAAAACATCCATGAATAATAGCCAATAAGACCATGGTTTACCAAGGGCCAATATTTATGGTGGGGAAGGGGAGAAATGGTCTCAGTCTTTGTGAAAGCCAACTCTGGAGTGGGAGAGATTGTGCTCCCTTTTCAGAATGGCAAATTGAATTTGGTGCAAGGAATTTGAGTCTTTGCTTTGGAAAAATAATAGGGTATCAGCAAAGCAAGGGAAGCACCTTGGAGGAAAGTGGGTTACATTTGGCTTATTATCTTTTCACATTAACAATGGAGGGATTTGTCAATGATAGAATTTATGAATTTGTAGAATGTTACCAAATGTTATATAATATTATTTGTAGAATAATAAGGGACAAAACCACCAGATAGCAAGTGTTTGTTTACTTTTTGTTTGCTACTTTAGTTCTTGTGTGTATGTGTAATGGGTGAATGTTTGAGTGCATGCAGAAGAAACAGGCCTGAGGAAAATACAGCATGGAGTTCGTGCAAAGCATGATATGAGTCGGACTTGGCAGTCGAAGCGAGGAGGCAGCAAGGCATAGCTGAACACCAATGAACAATAAGGTGTGTGACCGAGCATGTAAGGAGTGTGCAGGAGGTACCCCATAAGTCATATGGCCTGGAATGAGGATGTCCTGAACTGGAAAGGACTTGAAAGAACAGAACATGTTTATTAAAAAGAAGAAAAATTGATTTTGGCCTATAAATGCAGGGAACCCCAAGAACATGCACGCTTCCTGATCCGCGGCAACCAGGAACATCCACACCTTCTCAGAGGAAAGCTGATCATCTTCGTCTGGAGAAGGCCTGTGTGTGTGTGAGTATGTGTGAATGTACGTGTGCACGAGAGCTCTCTCTTGATATGATTCTGATGTGATTCTATGGTGATTGTATTTCAATAAATGTTACATGAATAGTGTTAAAACCAAATTTGGTCTCTAAAGTGTCTCATTGGTCTAAACTGCCTTACTATTCCTTGAACACTCTGCACAAAAGAACAGGAACCTTTTGGGGTTCATAACATATGGATGGATGGCATCCTTGAAGTGACTGGATTGACCTTGAAGGAGGTGGGGGTGGTGACGGCTGACAGGGAGCTCTGGTGTGGGGTCACGAAGAGTCGGAAATGACGGAACGAATGAACAACAACAACATATGTGTGTTGTTTTTGTGCTTTGTACAAGTTGTAGTTTTGTAGTTGTAGGTACAATGTAGTTGTGTAGTTTTGTTGTTATATATCATATCATATTTAATTACTTATTAATCGCCCTCCATCCGAGAATGCTCTAGGTGATTTACAGCAAAATTGTAAAAGATAAAATACAAACATACAGAAATTAAAAATTAACAGAGATCGAATTCTCTAGTAAAAAACCAGGTCTTAAGTGCTAGAGTAAAAGGCCCTAAGTCACGCATGGCTCTCATATAGGGCGGCAAGGAATTCCATAAGGCAGGGGCAGAAATAGAAAAAGCCCTGCGTCTGGTACTTTCCAAGTGCACTTCTCTAGGACCCGGTATATAGAGTAAGTCGCGTTGGGCTGGTCATTGCGACCTCCGATGATGGGAGAAGGAGAGGCGGTCCCTAAGGTACGATGGACCCTGACCGTAAAGAATTTTAAAGGTCAGAACTAACATCTTATACAGGCCACGGTACTCAGTTGGAAGCCAATGTAAATGTTGCAGCACTGGTGTTATACGGCATTTCATGGGCGTTCTTGTGAGTAACCTGGCTGCCGCATTCTGAACAATACGGAGCTTTCGGGTCGTAGACATCGGAAGGCCAACATACAGGGCGTTGCAATAGTCCAGCCAAGACATGACCGTGGCATGGATGACAGTTGCCAGAGCCTTGTCAGATAGGTAGGGGGCAAGTTGCCTCGCTTGTCGTAGATGGAAAAAGGCCTGTTTGCTGGCAGCAGCGACATTGTCAGCTGCGAATCCAGGACGACACCTAAGCTCTTAACAGTGGTAGATGGAGATAGGGTGGCACCATCAAAAGTGGGTAACGGAAGAGTCAGACCTGCCGGGCGGCCATGCCAGAAAATCTCAGTCTTCGCTGGGTTCATCTAAAGTCTGCTAGCACGTAGCCAGTTCGACAGAGCCTCCAGACATCGGGTGAAATTGTCTGGAATTGACGTTGCTCTAGGCTCCAGGCGCAGATGGAGTTTGGTATCATCCGCATATTGGTAGCAGTCCAGGCCGAAACTCCGAGCCAAACTAGCAAGGGGTCTAACGTAGATGCTGAAGAGGAGAGAGAATTGCACCTTGGGGGACCCCACATAGGAGGGGGGATCTATCGGAGACTTGATCCATGTACTCCACTCGTTGACTCCGTTTCCGGAGAAATGAGTTGAACCAATTAAGGGCCTGACCACGAACTCCAGACGTGGCAAGACGGTGAATCATTAGATCGTAGTTGATGGTGTCAAATGCTGCAGTAAGGTTGAGAAGTACCAGTAGCGCGGATCCACCGTTGTCAGACTGGCGACGGAGTTCATCCGTAATGGCAACACAACATTTTGCTTGTTTTAGTATTGCTGTATTATCATGTTCTCTCTTTCTCAAACAAACATGACTTAAAAACAAAGAGTGTTTGGAATATTAGCCTTAAGATATCATTCTTTGCAACCAAGACTATGGTTAGGTTAGAGCTCTCCAGACAGCATGGCGCAAGAAGTACTGCTGTAAGTTTAAAACAATAGCAAACTACATTTTCACTGTTGCAACCTGTAAGACTTTAATGTAGTAGGACATAACTGTTAGAATGTCTCTTTCTCTCCGTCATAATATCAAAGCTAAGGAGCAATGGTAAGGAAGGCACAGTGATGGAGGTGCACAAACAACAGTGTGCTGCTTTAGTTTAGGCAGAAAGCTCCCAACCACCACAAATCCTCTGTGCAGATCCAGTACTAAAACTTCCAGTTTGTGGTTGGAGACAGCGAGGGCTTCCTGTTCAAGGCTTGGCTGGCAGAGGTTCCACCTGAAGCCACAGCCCATTCTCAGCTCTCAGGATTAATTCTGGCTTGCGCCGTACAGTCTGACTTTTCTCATCCAGACGCACCACAAACCGGAGCAACGTCAGAGCTAAGGTCACTTTCAGCTCCGCCATGGCAAAATTCTGTCCAATGCAGTTCCTGCAAAGAGGAGAAAAGTACGTTTTATGGAAAATGCCATATCCTAGCACCAAAAGGGGATGAAACAGGCTGGTGTTCTACTGTGAAAAGAAACCATGAGGTGGTGAGGCTTGTATGTTATTCCTAAGGGGGAAAGCTGAAGAAGGTCTTTTCATGAGGGACAAACCAAAGATGGCTATCGAGTTCATCATGTTTTTCAGTTCAGGAGTTTCCTGGGGCAAATTTGCAGTGTCCTGAGTTTTTTGTTTGTTTGTTCTGAAGAGTCACATGCCATGACAGTTCAATGAGTTAAGGGAAGGGGAGAAAAAAATCCTCGTGACATGGTATCTGATACACTTATTAAGAGTGCAGGGCTGCAAGGAGTTCTGGAGACCAAATAATGGATGATTTGTATCTTACAAATGCCTTTTTCAAGTCAACAAGTGGTCTTCTGCACATCACTATAACAAATCCAAACATGGAGTTTGTTTCCAATAGGTACCAAATCCTCCCAAAATGGAAAAATGAGTTATTGGTGGCAGCACATTGTTGGCTAGGAGTAGCAAGAGTGGTCCACGCTCTTGTTACATCCCGAATAGATTACTGCAACACACTCTATGTGGGGTTGCCTTTGAAGACTGTTCGGAAACTTCAATTAGTCCAACGGGCGGCAGCCAGATTACTCACCGGAGCATCATATAGGGAACATACCACCCCTCCACTGGCTGCCGATCCAGTTCCGAGCACAATTCAAAGTGCTGGTTTTGACCTACAAAACCCTATATGGTTCCGGCCCAGCATATCTGTCCGTACGCATCTCCTTCTACGTCCCGCCTCGAAGTTTAAGATCTTCTGGGGAGGCCCTGCTCTCGGCCCCACCTCTATCACAAGTCAGATTGGTGGGGACAAGGAGCAGGGCCTTCTCGGTGGTGGCCCCTCGCCTGTGGAATTCACTTCCCGGGGAAATTAGGTCATTGACATCCCTCCTCTCTTTTAGAAGGAAACTAAAAATATGGATATGGGACCAGGCCTTTGGGTAATCTGGCAGATAGACAAAGGAGAATGGCGACTAGAATTGATAGGATTTGACAATGTGGAATGAATTTACGGATTCTGAGCTGGTGAACGTTGAGTATTAGACTGGTTTTATTCATTGTGATGTATAATTGATTGTTTTAATTGTTTTATAATTGCTGTTGATATATGTTTTATCTTATTGTTTGTGTTGGCATCGAATTGTGCCTTTTGTAAGCCATCCTGAGTCCCCCCTCGGGGGTTGAGAAGGGCGGGGTAGAAATACGCGAAATAAATAAATAAATAAATAGAATATTATGCACAGATCAAAACTGTCAAATGTATGTAATGTACCACAAAAAAATGCATGTCCTTAGCACGTTGTTTTATTCCTGCAAAATTGCTTCAAATGGATTTAATACCGTCAAAGGCTTTCATGGCTGGAATCACTGGGTTGTTGTAGGTTTTTTTGGGCTATATGGCCATGTTCTAGAGGCATTCTCTCTTGACATTTCACCTACATCTATGGCAAGCATCCTCAGAGGTAGCTTGCCTACCTCTGAGGATGCTGGCCATAGTTGCAGGCGAAACGTCAGAAGAGAATGCCTCTAGAACATGGCCACATAGCCCGAAAAAACCTACAACAACCCAGGATTTAGTACCTTTTGTAAACGAGCTCCGCAAATCATTTTCATTCCTTGAAGATCAATAATTTTGGTCTTGACCGATGCCTTGTTGAATCCACCTGTTAATTTTACTAGCATTAAAAAAGGATCCATATTGGTTGGTGCCATTATCAGACCTCAAAGAATGATATCTGATGGCTTCCATGTCAGTGGGAGGATAAATGCAGTCCAGATTTTCATTGAGAGTCTCTGAGACATAGGCTTCAGCACCTTGGGAAGCTATGTTCCTCATTGTTTTTAAATCTCAATGAAAAACCTTGTTTTCCAAAGTTTAGGGATTTTTAGTTTAATATTGTTTGAGAATCTTGTATATTTTGATTACATGTATTGGATAGCTTGTTTATATTGTACTTTTGCTATTTTCTCTGGATAATCTATATATATATAAATGCTCTGTGCATAATGAATACCTTAAAAACAAAAGAACCAATGAACGAAATCACAACAAATTTGGCAACAAAACGTCTCACAACACAAAGAGTGACCATCACTCAAAAATTATGATTTTGTCATTTGGGAGTTGTAGTTGCTGGGATTTATAGTTCACCTACAATCAAAGAGCATTCTTAACTCCATCAACGATGGAATTGAACCAAACTTGGCACAAAGAACTCCCATGACCAACAGAAAATACTGGAAGGGTTTGGTGGACATTGACCTTGAGTTTGGGAGTTGTAGTTCACCTACATCCAGAGAACACTGTGGGCTCAAACAATGATGGATCTGGACCAAACTTGGCACAAGCACTCAATAAGCCCAAATATGAACACAGATGGAGTTTGGGGGAAATAGACCTTGACATTTGGGAGTTGTAGATACTGGAATTCACAGTTCACCTACAATCAAAGAGCATTCTGAACCCCACGGACAGAATTGAGGAAAACTTCCCACACAGGGTTTGGTGGGCATTGACCTTGAGTTTGGGAGTTGTAGTTCACCTACATCCAGAGAGCACTGTGGACTCAAACAATGATGGATCTGGACCAAACTTGGCACGAATATTCCATATGCCCAAATATGAACACTGGTGGAGTTTGGGGGAAATAGACCTTGACATTTGGGAGTTGTAGTTACTGGGATTTATAGTTCACCTACAATCAAAGTGTGTTCTGAACCCCACCAATGACAGAATTGGGCCAAACTTTCCACACAGAACCCCCATGACCAACAGAAAATACTCAAGGCCATCCAGTTCAACTTCTGTCATCAGGGCAAGAAAACGTAATCAAAGTCCTCCTGACAAAGAGCTATCCAGCCATAGATTAGATAGATAAATAGACAGATATGATTCACACACAGAGAGATATAGTATCATAGATTTTAAAGGGACCCTTAAAGAAGGACAATGATACGTTGCATGTTCCAGGGTGGGCAAACCAGACACTCTCCACATCAACACTGACAAAGAAACAGCAAGAAATACTGTTTACCCACAAGTATCAAGACATTACATATATTAGAAACCAACACTTTCTCATTACTTTATTTTCCAGATCAACATACTGGGCCACAGCAACGTGTGGCAGGGGACAGTTAATAGTTTTATACTTGTAAACTTCATCAAACAAAATCTTGCCAAATGACAGGAGGCACACAACACTGGTGATTCTGAACTTACGTATTAATGTGTATATATGGAGAAGGAATCTTAATCTATTCTGGATTTCAGTCTGAACATTCAAGGCACTGAACCTATTCCTAAAATAATTTCTGTGCCTTACTTCCTTTAAGTCAGGGTTGGCATTCATTGCCTCACTGACAGAGACACCACCATTGACTGAAAGACTCACTCCAAAGACTACATTTTTGGGAACCTGTGAATTCCTGCTCACCTTGGTCCTGCAGAGAAGGGGACGAAGGCCAGGGGGGACTGTTGCTTTGAGGTTGCTGGGTCAAAGCGGTGTGGGTTATAAACCTGTGAGAATGACAACAGATTTCAAAAACAGGTTCCATGAGTGTGAGAAGAAGCAGGAAGTTAGGTGAGTTCCCAGAATGGGACATTAAGTCTTTCTGTGGCTGAGCATTTTCATAGGCTTTCCCAATTTACAGCGTCCCAAAAATCTCAAATAGCCCAATGCCGACAGTGAGGAAACTATGTGGCTAGAAATTACAGAGCATGTGTATGTAAGGAAATTACCATGACACTGAATTAACCTTGTGTCAAATGCAAGCATAAAATAGACATACTAGTATTCCCACAAGAAGAAGCACTGACTAGGGAGTGGATGCTGGAAAAAACTAATCTATAATATAGAAAGGGGCCTCATAACAGTGTCTGAAAGAAAGAAAACAATAGCTCTCATTAAGCCATAATCTGGTTCTTCTTTTGTTCTAGTTGCAAGTGCAAATACTTTTCAGAAGAATTATAAAAGCCCACAGCAATCCATTATAAAAACTATTCAGACTACGGGTTGTTGTAGGTTTTTCCGGGCTATATGGCCATGGTCTAGAGGCATTTTCTCCTGACGTTTCGCCTGCATCTATGGCAAGCATCCTCAGAGGTAGTGAGGTCTGTTGGAAGTAGGAAAATGGGTTTATATATCAGAGAGTAAACAATCAGGCACATCAAATCACCTCTCAACAAAAGATTCCCCCAGGCACTTCCAAGCCATTAAATGCTAATCAAGGTGGTCAGTTGAAACATTCACACCTAGCTCCAACAGACAAGAGTTCTTTGTCCCACCCTGGACATTCCACAGATAGATAAACCCATTTTCCTAGTTCCAACAGACCTCACTACCTCTGAGGATGCTTGCCATAGATGCAGGCGAAATGTCAGGAGAAAATGCCTCTAGACCATGGTCACATAGCCCAAAAAAACCTACAACAACCCAGTGATTCCGGCCATGAAAGCTTTCGACAATACATATTCAGACTATGTTGTTTAATTTAACACTTTTAATATTCAGTTTCTGTACTTTTGATGCTGCTGCTTCATGATATATGATTTGTGCTTTTTTGGGAATTATGCTGAAACTGCAGTAATTTATGAAGCTAGACATCTTGTCAGCAACTGATTACAAAAACTTGAGCATTGCAGCGAGACCAGATCTATCTGCTCCTGACAGCAATGATTTAAAGTATCTTCCAAATACCCTTTAAGGGTCAGGAAGGTCACCTAGACTAAATAAATGGTTTAGGGTGATGTGTGAACTCTTTTATCAGGGATAGCTTTACAGGATGAGCTGAAGAAATGCAGAATTCCCCATGGGAAGGACACGGCCTTTCCAAAAAAGCAATGTCCTGAGGTGGAGAAAGAATGACACACATATTTCTTGTGGCTGCTTTTTTTCCAGTAAAAATTGCCAACCAATTCAATAACTTTTATTTATTTTGCTTTTTGTTCACCTTTTTTAACCCTTTATACCCTTCAGAGTTAAAATTAAAGTCCAATTAAGAGCACAGAAAGTCAATAAATCTATGTCCAAGGAGGAAGATTGTGGCCGGGATTGAAGACCGATATTGTGGCGCAACTGGCTGAGTGTCAGCTGCATTAAGATCACTCTGTCCAAAAGGCCATGAGTTCGAAGTCAGCCCGGGTTGAAGTGGGTTTCCAACCAATTGTGTAGCCCATTGTCGACCTTTGCAACCTGAAAGACAGTTGCATCTGTCAAGTAGGAAAATAAGGTACCACCTTAAAGTGTGGGGAGACTAAATTAACTGATTTATGAGGCCATAAAGACTTCAGCAAAAAGCATGCAGGGAATGCGGAAGTACTTCATCAGTGTCGCAGATGGACGATGAAAGCGACGGCTCCCCTGGTGGCCAGAAAAAGTTAAATAGCCTCTGTCTATGTCTGTATATGTTGTATGTCAAAATTGGCATTGAATGTTTGCCATATATGTGTACGCTGTAATCCGCCCTGAGTCCCCTGCGGGGTGAGAAGGGCGGGATATAAATACTGTAAATAAAATAAATAAATAATAAGAGGAGAAAAAAAGAAGAGAAGAAATTAATGAATTTTCAACTACATAATTAATGGCAAGTACCAAGCAAATGAGCAAATGACTTTTACCCTTTTACCCTCAAAATGGACATATTCTACTGTTAGAAAAAGGAAAAAGCAGAGAGAAAAAAAGAGAGAAAAAGACCTTTTAAATGTAAATTGCAGTATCTTCTTTTAAGAAATTAAGAATTCACAATTTTAAGGCAGTAAGAATTGTAAACTGCCTGTCTAAAGAGAAAGGAATGGTTAGCAACTGATTAAAAAAGCAAAAAGTGAATTTGAAAACAAAAAAGTCTCACCTCCCTGGGTCAATACAAGAAAACTGTCTACTGGACAGAAGAAACTGGGAATATCAAAGACTGGGAAACAGTACCTCGGGCTCCGGCCACACAGCAGGATTGTGATGGGTCCCATATATACTGATGAGGCAAATGACTCCTGGGGAGGGAAGAGTAATGAAAGCTTGATATGTCATCAGTTGGGTCCCCTCTCCCCAGCACCAACTGCCGCTCTGGGCCAGAGTGAAGAGAGATGGATTCAGAAGACAGTTCCACCTTGGGAAGTCTGACTTGGCCACAGTGGTCCACGCTCTGGTTACATCCCGTATAGATTACTGCAACGCTCTCTACGTGGGGTTGCCTCTGAAGACTGTCCGGAAGCTTCAACTAGTCCAACGAGCGGCAGCCAGATTACTAACAGGAGCGGGGTACAGGGAGCATACTACTCCTCTGTTGCACCAGCTCCACTGGCTGCCAATCAGCTTCCGAGCACAATTCAAAGTGCTGCTGTTGACCTATAAATCCCTAAACGACTCCGGCCCAGTTTACCTGTCCGAACGGATTCTCCCTTATGAACCATCAAGGTTGTTAAGATCTTCTGGAGGGGCCCTGCTCTTGGTCACACCACCCTCGCAAGTGCGTCTGGTGGGGACGAGGGACAGTGCCTTCTCGGTGGTGGCCCCTCGGCTCTGGAACTCTCTCCCACTGGAGATTAGATCTCTGCCCCTTCTCTCCTGACTTTTAGAAAATTGGTGAAAACCTGGCTCTGGAATTTAGCATTTGATGAGTAAGTCAATAACTTTTGACCACACGGACGGATGGTAATGAACTGTCATTTCTCTTTGACGACTTGGCCTTATGTAAGTATATGATTGCTTTTTATTATTTATTTATTCATTTATTTATTAACTTTCTTTGTATCCCGCTAGCATCTACCGAAGGACTCGATGCAGCTTACACAGGCCAAGGCCTCAATAAAACAACAGCATAACAAAACACATAACTTAAAGCAAATCAAACATTAAAACAATAGCAGTAAACAATAAAAACAACACACCATAACACAATAAAACTAGGTCCGGGCCAAATGTAATGGGTACAGATTAAAAAGTGCTGGGTGTGACAAGTGGATGTAGGATTTTAGGGTAAGTGCAATGTGCAGACCATCTTAAAACTCTGATAAAGTGCTTCTGGGACATATTGCTGGAGTTTCCTATTCTGGAAAGGCTTTTTAGTGTATTTTATGTATTGGTGTGTTATGGGGTGTGATGTTTTTAAACTACTGTTTATGAATCTTGTAAACTGGCCTGAGTCCCTCTCCGGAGGTTGAGAAGACCGGTATATAAAAGTTCTAAATAAATAAATAATAAATTGTTTCCTGTGCTATGTTAATAATATAATATAATGCAATCTAATATATTGTATATAATATAATATTTATAATATTATAATGTAATGCAATGTAATACTAATACCAATAATATGATATTATAATTATATATTTATATTACATGTAATGGTATAATACAGTATAGTAATATTTAATACTGATATTGTACTATGCTAATAAGGAGCCCCCGGTGGCGCAGTGGGTTAAAGCACTGAGCTGCTGAGCTTCCGCTGTCAGCCCTAGCTTCTGCCAACCTAGCAGTTCGAAAACATGCAAATGTGAGTAGATCAATAGGTACCGCTCCAGCGGGAAGGTAACGGCGCTCCATGCAGTCATGCCGGCCACATGACCTTGGAGGTGTCTACGGACAACGCTGGCTCTTCGGCTTTGAAATGGAGATGAGCACCACACCCCTGAGTCAGACATGACTGGACTTAATGTCAGGGGACTACCTTTACCTACTATGCTAATAATATAATATATTGTATGTATATATATCTTGTAAGCCGATCTGAGTCCCTTTGGGGGTGAGAAGGGCGGCATATAAATATTGTAAATAAAGCTTGTATTTTGTTGCTCCTTCAAGAGGCAAACAGTGGAACATAATCATTGGGAAGGGGAATAAACATTGAAAAAATGACAGCACATCTTCCAATTTTCAGTTTTTCACGAGAGTAGTAAAACATCTAATGTGTAGCTTGAGTCCTCAATATACATAGGTTTCTCCGTAATTCCTCATTCACAATTATGATTGTGAAAAGCATACTGTTTTTTCCCCACTTATGGTTTGGAAGTGACATGCTTTTTGCTCATATCTTGCAGACACTTGAGGATAATCACCAGTGATCCATTACACCTACTGGGTCACATTGTGCCTGCCCGGCAAGTCGCACTCTCCCTTTCTCTCAGCCTGAGCTACCTTACACAATTGCGAGGGGAAAGTGAGGTGGGGGAAGAAAGACATGTATCTCCAATTAGAGCTCCTTGGAGGAAAGTTGGGATATTGTTAAGAATAATCAAACAAAGTCAGTTGCAGTGAAATTCTATGAAAAAGGAAAACAAGCACTCACTTCAAATGAACTAATGTAGTGAGCAATGTGAACAAACCACAGAGTCAATCTACCTTCTAAAATACAGAAAGTTTTGAAATTCTAACATTCACTTGGTTTCACCTGCTTTTTTTTTTTGTCGTGTCAGGAGTGACTCCTGGTGCGAGAGAATTGGCCGTCTGCAAGGACGTTGCCCAGGGGACGCCTGGATGATTTGATGTTTTTATCATCCTTGTGGGAGGCTTCTCTCATGTCCCCGCATGAGGAGCTGGAGCTGATAGAGGGAGCTCATCCGCCTCTCCCCGGATTCGAACCTGCGACCTGTCGGTCTTCAGTCCTGCCGGCACAGGGGTTTAACCCACTGCGCCATTGGGGGCTCCACAATGTCATGCTAACAGTGCAAAAACATGGTAGCCAGCAGTTCCTTCACACGTATACTGACTGCTACTCCTTTGAGATAAAGGAGAATAGAGAGTCCATCAAGTAGTAGATCCCTCCCTGGATAGATACCTTTGGGGATAACCTGTCCACTAGGCATTTTCACATCCTCATTGCAGCTTCGAGAAATGACTGTGACTGCGGGGTGGAGGCGCAAGCTCTCCTTAATGCACATGGTGGTGAAGGGCATCTGGGAGAGGTCATCCCTGAGAAGAGAAAGGGACCAAGCATTAGACCTACTGTTCACGATGATTTGTTGACGCTTCATGAAAAGCCTTTACTTCAAAAAGGGCTCCATTTGTTATGGTCCGAGTTCAAGGGACAAAACACCCCATAGGATCCTGAGGAATGATATAGATGACATAAATGGATTGAATACTGCCGAGAATAGATCCTTATTGATACATTAGTTTTATGTTAGTGGCTATATCTCCATTTGTTCTATGACTCTAATACAGGGGTCCTCAAATTAAGGCCCAAGGGCAAGATACGGCCCTCCAAGGTCATTTACTCGGCCCTCGCTCAGGGTCAACCTAAGTCTGAAATGACTTGAAAGCACAGAACAACAACAATCCTATATCATCAGCCAAAAGCAGGACCACACTTCCCATTGAAATACTTGTTCTTCATTTTAATTGTTCTTCATTTTAATTGTTTTATTGTTTTAAAGTGTTTTTGCACTACAAATAAGATATGTGCAGTGTGCATAGGAATTCATTCATGGGGGGGGGGGTGTTCAAATTATAATCTGGCCTCCAACAGTTTGAGTGCCTGTGAAGCTGGCCCTCTGTTTAAAAAGTTTGAAGACCCCTGCTCTAATAGGATTTGGAGAAGGGGTTGCTTAGTAATTTGATTTATACTCTGACTTTTTGCCAGAAATGATTACTTTAAAAACCTATAATCAATTAAGAGCAAGAATGGATCGAAAACAGAACATAAAACAGACATTTAATAACACTGGACTCTTAAGGATTAAAAACAAACTACTGCACTATAGTAGCCAATACACTTTCATGGGGATTAAAGATGCAGGACCCCTACAAAAATGGAAAAGCTATGAGTAAAAAGGAAATGCCCTTTGATCTTAGAATCACTCTGGAGAACCTAGAGATTCTGAGAGAGAATATAATAATCACCTCTGCAAAAGCAAGACCTGCAAATGTGGAGAGCAGATTGTAATTATTAAAACAATTGTTTAGAAGTGAAACACAAAAACAAAATAAAATGGAATTAGCAATACATCAATAAATAGATATGACCAGCACTCAATAAGTTAGAACAAAACCATTTGAGAACAGAACAGGTTGCATGCCAAAGACCAGGGGTCCACAAACTTTTTAAACAGAGGGCCAGGTCACAATCCCTCAAACTGTTGGTGGGCCGGATTATAATTTGAAAAAACATGAATGAATTCCTATGTACACTGCACATATCTTATTTATAGTGCAAAAAACATTTTAAAACAATACAAAAATTAAAATTAAGAACAGTTTTAACAAATATAAACTTATTAGCATTTTAATGGATAGTGTGGGCCTGCTTTTGGCTGATGAGATAGGATTGTTGTTGTTATTGTGTGCTTTCAAGTAGTTTCATACTTAGGTTGACCCTGAGCGAGGGCTGGGTAAATGACCCTGGAGGGCCGCATCTGGCCCCCGGGCCTTAGTTTGAGGACCCCTGCCAAAGACTAACCTAAACAAAAATGTCTTTGTTTGCTTGTACTAGTGAACAACAAAAACAGATTGCAGCTTATCTAGAAAGGGATTGTAAGTGTCTTCTTGTTCCTAACAACACTTTCCTTTGTGGTTTAGCCAGGCAAAAAATAGCCAGTTACATTTCTCTCATAATGCCAGTAGTTAATCCTTTTCTCTGATCTTTGGCAGCAGCCATACTGGTAGATCTGGAAGTACCGTATATTCCGGGGTATAAAACGACTGGGGCTATAAGACGATCCCCCAATTTTAGCAACCAAATTGAGAGTTGGGGATATACTCGCCGTTTAAGACGGCTCCCCAAATCAGGCGCTCTTCTTCTTCCTGTCCAGTCACTTCGCGAGACCTGGACAGAAAGGAGAGTGGCCTGATCAGAAGGGTCTCCGACGCTCCTCAGGCCGCTCTATTTCTTCCTGTCCAGGCACCACGCGAGACCTGGACAGGAAGGAGGAGAGCGGCTTGATCAGAAGGGCCCCCAGCGCACCTCAGGCCGCTCTCCTTCTTCCTGTCCAGGCCTAGCGCGAAGTGCCTCTTCTCCCACGAGACAATGTTGTCTCGCGGGAGAAGAGGCACTTCTTGCGAGGCATGGACAGGAAGAAGGAGAGCGGCCTGAGCAGCGCGGGAAGCACCCCAGGGGCCCGGCCACCAACAAAGGAGAGGCCTGGACCTCTGCAAGGAAGGCAGCCAGGAAGGACGGGGAGCCTGCCCGGGAGGCCGCCATGAACCAAGACAGAGGAGCAGCAGCAGGAGGAGGTGAGCCTGAGGCCAAGGCAGCCATATTAAGTAATTTAATTATTATTTTTATTTTATACCCAGCGTACTAGATGACCCCCAAAATGTTATAAGGTTTACATGCCTAAAAAGTCGTCTAGTACCGCGGAATATATGGTAATCATCCAAAAAAGTAACTTTTATCACACCATTTTTGTTCACTTTGTTTAGTATGTGTGTGTGCATACATGGAGGAAGAGTTTATTCCTCTTCTAGTTAAAAAAATGAACATCTGGCCTCAAGTCCACCATAAGCTACCCATTACAAATTATGCCCTGCAGTCCATTACCATTCGATTTCTTCTATGTCCCGATCACGCAACAGTTCCTGGATTTCCTCCCGGCACTGGTCTTGGTAGTGTGGGTGTTGGGCCAGATTGTACAGTACCCAAGACAAGCCACTTGCTGTAGTATCATGGCCTAAAATATGAGAGTGAAACACATACAGACAGAAAGGGATAGTAAATGCAGGCACAGAGAACACTTACAACTGGAATAAATACAAGCTGAGACAATGTATGTGCCTGGGTAGTTGTGATAAATATAATGTGCAGATTGAATGAAATTGTATGAAAGGTGTATGACTGAGGCCTAAATAAGTTTGAAGATGCATTTCTGAGAATAAAGTATGGAAAAACTACAAAAGGAGGTGAAGAATTCATGAACTGCTGAACTGCTGACATGGACAGAGACAGTAATTAACTGTGGTTGAAAACAACATGTTTACATAGTCAAAGACAAAAATTCTTTAAGTTGAAGCAAACACAATACACCCTACTTAAGAAGAAAACTTACTATCCAAAAGTGTAGCAGACAGCAGAGTCTGGATGCCCATGGTTTTCTCCAAGGAATGGAGAAAGATGGTGTATTTGCAAAATGGCCGATTTGCAGGGACCGCAATCTGGCCCATGTTTGCTTCTACTGTCTAGATCAGTGGTTCTCAACCTTCCTAATGCCGCGACCCCTTAGTACAGTTCTTCACGTTGTGGTGACCCCCAACCATAACATTTTCATTGCTACTTCGTATCTGTAATTTTGCTACTGTTATGAATTGTAATGGAAATATCTGATATGCAGGTGTATTTTTAAATCCCAAATACCCAATATGCCCAAATTTGAATACTGGTTTGATTTTGTCATTTCGGAGCTGTAGTGGCTTGGATATATAGTTCACCTATAATTAAAGAGCATTCTGAACACCAGCAATGATGAAATTGAACCAAACCTGGCACACAGAACTCCCATGGCCAAGAGAAAATACTGGGAGGATCTGGTGGACATTGACCTTGAACTTTTGGAGTTGTAGTTCGCCTACATCCAGAGAGCACTGTGGACTCAAACATTGAGGATCTGGACCAAACTTGGCACGAATACTCAAAATGCTGACATGTGAACACTGGAGGAGTTTGAGAAAAATAGACCTTAACATTTGGGAGTTGTAGTTGCTGGGATTTATAGTTCACCTACAATGAAATAACATTCTGAACCCACCAATGATAGAATTGGACCAAACTTCCCACACAGAACCCATGACCAACAGAAAATACTATGTTTTCTGATGGTCTTTGGTGACCCCTCTGACACCCCCTCGCGACCCCCACAGGGGTCCCAACCCCCAGGTTGAGAAACACTGGTCTAGATGTAAGGAGGGATGGGAATGCATGAATGGAGAATGAATGAATGAATGATGAATGAGTGTTAGAATATATGGGAATGTTTTCCCCTTTTTTGTTGGTGTAACCAGTGTAGTTATATAGTCTGTGTGTCTACTTTCTTTCTCTGTAAAGTGCCTGTGATATACTCTGTCTCACTGGAAATGAAATAGAAGAACCTCCTTAATGTTTACAAGGATCAAATGGTTTAAAGCAGTGGTTCTCAACCTTCTTAATACAGTACCTCATGTTGTGGTGACCCCCAACCCTAAAATTATTTATGTTGCTACTTCATAACTGGAATTTTGCTACTGTTACAAATCGTCATGTAAATATCTGATAGGATGTATTTTCATTCTCTGGATCTTGGGAATTGTAATTGCTGGGATTTATAGTTCACCTACAATCAAAGAGCATTCTGAACTCCACCAGAGATGGAATTGACCCAAACTTGGCACACAGAATGCCCATGATCAGCAAAAAATAATGAAAGGTTTAGGTGGACATTGGCCTTGAGTTAGGGAGTTGTAGTTCACCTATCTCCAGAAAGCACTGTGGACTCAAACAATGATAGATTTGGACTAAACTTGGCACAAATACTCAATATGCCCAAATGTGAACACTGTTGGAGTTTGGGGAAAATAGACCTTGACATTTGGGAGTTGTAGTTGCTGGGATGTATAGTTTACCTACAATCAGAGAGCATTCTGAACCCCACCAATGATAGAATTGGGCCAAACTTCCCACACAGAACTCCCATGACCAGCAGAAAATACTGTGTTTCCTGATTGTCTTTGGTGACCCCTCCGACACCCCATCGCAACCCCCCCAGGGGTCTCGACCCCCAGGTTGAGAAACACTAGTTTAAAGAATTAAGGATTTCATCATGTTTCATCAAAGAAGAGAGATATTTTCAAGTTCAAAGAGGGAGTCCAGGCAAAACATTCCATAAAAACTGTAATGCTTCTTCCCAACGACACATATCAGACTATTTTATTTATTTTGTTTTATATTTACTTTTTTTATATCCTCCCCTCTTTCCCTCATTGTGATGGATCCCAACCCCCAAATATCCCTTTATCCCTTCCTCCTTCCCTCTGGGTCACTGCTGACAGTGGCAGATGAAGTATAAGCCTGGCATCTCACCCTCAAACATGAAGGTATCAGCTTCAGCTGCGATGTCTTCATCAGACAAGTGGCACCCATCTTCATCCTGCAAACACAAAGCCAAGTGTTTGGTGAGATGTAAGTCCTGCTGACCATTGGAGAATCTCACCAGAACTCACTATTAGTAGCAGGAGGCAGTCCCTTTCCATGGACTAGAGCAGTGATGGGCAACCTTTTCAGCTTGGTGAAGTAATGCTACCCCTCTATTCTATTTTGGTTAGACCACATCTGGAATATTGTGTCCAATTCTGGGCACCACAATTCAAGAGAGATATTGACAAGCTGAAATGTGTCCAGAGGAGAGCGACTAAAATGATAAAAGGTCTGGAGAACAAGCCCTATGAGGAGCGGCTTAAGGAGCTGGGCATGTTTAGCCTGAAGAAGAGAAGGCTGAGAGGAGATATGATAGCCATGTATAAATATGTGAGAGGAAGCACAGGGAGGAGGGAGCAAGCTTGTTTTCTGCTTCCCTGGAGACTAGGACGCGGAACAATGGCTTCAAACTACAAGAGAGGAGATTCCATCTGAACATGAGGAAGAACTTCCTGACTGTGAGAGCCGTTCAGCAGTGGAACTCTCTGCCCCTGAGTGTGGTGGAGGCTCCTTCTTTGGAAGCTTTTAAACAGAGGCTGGATGGCCATCTGTCAGGGGTGATTTGAATGCAATATTCCTGCTTCTTGGCAGGGGGTTGGACTGGATGGCCCATGAGGTCTCTTCCAACTCTTTGATTCTATGATTCTATGATTCTATGTGTGTGAAAATTCACCAAAAAACCGAGCGTAATTCAGGTGGGGTGCTACTTTGAGAAAAAAAACCCATAATTTTGATATATTTATAGTTTAAATAACAAAAATGCATAATGGGAGGAGAAATTCTTTAACTAAGCTGCCTATTAGTGACTTTTTTGTTGATGAATTTCATTGACTAAATGTTCAATTGAAGGTTGGTATTTTGTACACTTCAAGCCCAAGCAAGTGCTACTAACATAATCTGTCAATCTGTTTCTTTTGATGGTTTTGATATTAGTTAACACTGAGAATAAGGTCTCACAAAAGTACGTAGAGGGAAAAATTGTGAGTAAAGCCATGTCAGAGTACACAGAGAAGCCATTGAAATCCACAAGCATGTGGACAATTTCAACAGAAAGGAGGAAACCATGAAAATGAACAAAATCTGGCTACCAGTATTAAAAAATAACTCTAAAATCAGGACAGTAAAGAAAGAGCAACACTCAGGAAACACTTAGGAAACAGAGGACAAGAATCAGTCAGACCCAGCTAACACCTCCCAACAAAGGATTCCCCTGAGCAGGAAGGAGCCAGACTATGAAGCTGCCAGGCCATTCAAGGCTAATCAAAATGGCCAGTTGCAACATTCACACTTGCCTCCAACAGACAAGAGTTCTTTCTCCCACCCTGGATGTTATTCCACAGATATATAAACCCTAAAAAAACAGGGAAATTCCAGACAAGAATCAGTCAAGCCCAGCTAACACCTCCTAACAAAGGATTCCCCTAAGCAGGAAGGAGCCAGACATTGAAGCTGCAAGGCCATTCAAGGCTAATCAAAATGGCCAATTGCAACATTCACACTTGCCTCCAACAGACAAGAGTTCTTTCTCCCACCCTGGATGTTATTTCACAGGGATATAAACCCCACTTGCCTAGTTTCAAACAAACCTCTGAGGATATGAGAGAAAAGTCAGGAGAGAATGCTCCTGGAACAGAGGGATTTAGCTGAGGGGAAAAAAAAGACTCCAGCAACCAAGCGCACGCCTCCCTCCCTCCACCAAAGGGGGCCAGATCAAAGGCGCCGCCGGATGATTGGCAGCTGAGGGGCGGGGCTGGAAGATTCTTTCTCCCGAGACACGTGCCCCTGCCTTAATGAGACAATACACTGTTTTCCTTTCTCCTTTCCCTCTCTTTCGCCCACTTGGACAAGCGAGCAAGCAAGCAACCCTCAGTCAGGGATTTGGCAAATGTGTAAGTTGCTTCAGCCGCCCCTGATGCAGCTCCATACTTCTCTGTATGCAGCCGCATGTGGCCGCGTGTCATAGAAAATGGCTACACGTGTCAATGCTGACACGCATGTCATAGGTTCGCCATCATGGGAGTAGTGTATTATGCTGAGACTCTGCTTCCCTTTGCGGATGCTATAAGCCAGTCCTCATAGGAATAACTTTTTCATGGATCTGCATCTCTACAGCCACCAGCCAGTTGGCAAAATTCTATTCCCATGAAGGTACCTGCCCCACACATAGCAGTCAGGCCATCCCTTCTCTTGCCACTCTTTCTCCTAGTACCTTGGCCATCAACAGGACATCAATGAAATCCTTAGTTTTGTCCTGCTTGGGTTTGAGCGAGGCATCCTGTCCCAAATCTCTAAGGGCCATTCTTCGCTTCTGGATCACATCAGCAGTGAAACGGTGTACAACTTCACAGGCGTGGCGGAAGCGGCGGCCATCTGCTGTCAGATAATAGATCCAGTCAATATGGTTGTACAGTTTGTGTGGCCGCCGCGTTACAAGAGAACTGAGCAGCAGGATGGATGCAATGTAATTGCTCGGTTTCCTGGAATCAAAGAAACCAATTTGTCAGGAGATAACGAGAGACAAAGTTTCAACAGAAGTTGTTTCTCAAGCATCTAAAAAACTGGACCAGAGGGAACAGAATACTGGCTAGGCCTTGCCGGTTATCAGCATATTTATTTATTTATTGCACTTATATACCGCTTTTCTCACCCCAAGCAGTTTATTTATCTATTTATTTAAAGCATTTATATTCCGCCCTTCTCACCCTGCAGGGGACTCAGGGCGGATCACATGGCAAACATTCAATGCCATAGATCAGGGGTCCTCAAACTAAGGCCCGGGGGCCGGATACGGCCCTCTAAGGTCATTTACACAGTCCTCGCTCAGGGTCAACCTAAGTCTGAAATGACTTGAAACCACACAACAACAACAACATTCCTATCTCATCAGTCAAAAGCAGGCCCACACTTCCCATTGAAATACTCATAAGTTTATATTTGTTAAAATTGTTCTTCATTTTAATTATTGTATTGTTTTTAAGTTTGTTTTGTACTGCAAATAAAGTATGTGCAGTGTGCTTAGGAATTCATTCATGTTTTTTTTCAAATTATAATTCGGCCCTCCAACAGTTTGAGGGACTGTGACCTGGCCCTCTGTTTAAAATGTTTGAGCACCCCTGCCATAGATACACAACATATATAAACAGAGACAGAGGCTATTTAACTTTCCAGCTTCATGAGGGTATGCTTTTTGAATTCCGGCCACCGGGGGAGCTGTTGCTTCATCATCCACTTGTGACACTGATGGAATACTTCCTCATTCTTTTGCACGCTTTAGAGTTTTTATGGCATTGCAAATTAGTTAAATTAACCTACAGGCATAAGCAGTACCTAAATTTCCTACTTGACAGATGAAATTGTCTTTCGAGCTGCAAAAGTCAACAGCAAGCTAGATAAATGGTCGGAAGCTCACTCCGACCTGGGCTGGCTTTGAACTCAGTTCCCAGCATAATCAATGGCAAAATTCAATGCCTTACATGCAGGCCTGTAGCCGGGTGGGGAGGGGGGTTAGGGGTTCAACCCCCCCCCCAATTTTTAGGCTAAAAAAAAAACCCTGGTTTACTCATGAATTTTAACCAGTTAACCAAATCCCCATGTCAAGTCTATGAGACCCAAAAAATTAAGAGTCCCTCCGGAACTGCAAGCACTATCTCAAGCAAATATTGACAATTTATTCACACTGTCATTACTTGCAGCGATAGCTGATATAGCGAAGCAACCAAGTTGGGGGGGGGGGGTGTTGAATGCTCTCATTAAGGAGGCCAGACTTGGTGGAGGTGGTTGACAGGGGCGGAGCTGCAGCCTATTGAAGGCTGCTCTGCCCCCTGCTGTGCTCTTTGCTTCAGTGTGAGCTAGGAGGCAAGTTTCAACCCCCCTCCCCTAATTTTCAACCCTCCCCCCTGAAATTTTCAACCCTTCCTGAAATTTTTTTCTGGCTACGGCCCTGCTTACATGTATAAAATAATACATATCAAAACAGATCTGTGTAAATGTATAAAACAGACCCATGAAGTTCAGAAAATATTTACCGTTACCAAATTTGGGGGGACCCCAACACTGTGGGCCCCGACCCATCTGGAGTTGGGGCCCAAACTTAAGAAGAAGTGCTCTAAAGGACATTTAGAGGCAAAGAACTGTGGTTTTTGTGGAAGCCCAGATGAAGTTGAGGTTGGTTCAGCTCTCCAATGTCCATTAGGGGATTGACATGGTCTCCAATCTTTTCACAGTTGCCCACTCTGAAATAAAGATATCCCTGGGGCTACCTATAGGATTCCAAAAGCAACCAGATAACCCAGGATTATATTTGCTGGTTTACTCACTCCTGACAGTTGCTGTTGTAGCTGAAGACACATTTTTGTAAACTGTCCAGAGTCATGAGGCTGATATGCTCAAACATGTCAATAGAAGTTGGGCCTGCGGCTGTGAGCCTGCGCCATTTGGCCTTGGAAAAAAAAAGAACAGAATGTGAACAGACAACCTGAGTCAACCTCGCTAAAAGAAAGCAAAATTTAGAGTGAAGTGGTTACTAAAGTAGAAGGGCTCTTGTAGAAGGACAGGGGTTAAAAGGGAGAAGCTGAGGAAGACAATCCTTCAAATAGTTGGTCTTTCTGTGAGCAAAGGAAGGAGAGACAGCAATAAGAATGATTTTCACTTGTCCACAGGGCAAGGGAAGCATATGCACAAAGAGTTAGCAACATGCAACCAATGTCTAGGCAAGTAAAAGTTGGAAAAAACTCTCTTAAGTGTCTGAAATACAGAAGGCTTGCAATACTGGGTGTGTATATTTATTTATTTAAGTTTGACTTCCTCTCCGAACCCATTGCTATAACCTTCAGTAGCTCAGTGGGATGACTTTAACCACCATTTCGCAGATAAAATCTCTTGCATAAGAACTGGCTTAGATCATGTTATTGGGGCAGAAGTCAACAACAAGGTGTCCAGCAACTCTTGAGTGGGATTACACTGGATCATTTTTAATTAGTGAGTACTGTTGCTGTGAACAATCTATTGGGGCAAATAAGGAGGACAACCTGCTTTCTTGATCCCTCAAATAAAACACATCACTTAGGGAAGGGAATTTTCTACCGTGTTTAAAAAAGCAGTAGCTAGATCACTGCTGAAAAAGTCCTCCCTGGATCTTAATAATTACAGACCAGTGTCTAACCTTCCTTTTTTGGGCAAGGTGATTGAGAAGGCAGTTGCCCCGCACATTGAGGTCCTCTGGGGGGGGGGGGTACTCCAACCAGCTAGAACCCAACTGGTCACCATCACCCAGAGGACCTCTTTTTTCATGAGTTGCACCAAGACTTTGGGATGACCTGCTGGAAGTGTTCCGACAGCTAAATGAGGTGCTGGAATTTAAAATGCAAGTGAAGATCCATGTCTTCCGGAAGGCACAACAAAGAGGTGACATAGAGCCAAAGAGTGCACTGGAGTTTTGGAGGAGCTCACATGCATGATATCTGTGCTCTGGTTGAAGATTTTCATGTAAGGCTTCAGGATATCAAAATGAAAGGCAGGAGTGAGCATGCGCCGATGCCGTGCCCACTTTTTCCCACCACTCAGCAGCAGTCCATCCCCTGGGAGAGAAGAAAATATGAGTTTGTCCTGGTCAGAGAATAGCCTGCAACTAGCCCACTGCCCTAAATCCCAAACAAGCCCCCCATAAGGTCTTCCAGGAAGATCTAGAGAAAATATATATTTTGTCTGTCTGTCCATATGTGTGTAAATCATCTATATTTATGACTGGATGGCTCTTTGTCAGGAGGGCTTTGATTACGTTTCCTTGCCCTGGTGAAGAGAGTTCACCAGGCCTTATGTATTTTCTGTTTGTCATGGGGGTTCTGTGTGGGAAATCTGCCCCAATTCTGTCATTTGTGGAGTTCAGAATGCTCTTTGATACTCCTCATAAGTTTTTATTACCATGTCTCCTTTTTCGTTTCTCCTAAGTAACTGGTGATAGGTTGGCCAATTTTCTATCCCTAACTCTTTTTTGTGTTTTGCCTCAAATACCGAGATCCAGAGCGGGGTGCGCCTAAAAAAATCTGTTTTTGTGTTTCTCCCACATTTTAATTAGGGCGGCCCTTATCATATGATTTGTGAAATTTTTTTCTACTTTTCTTCGGCCATACCATAAATAGCTGTGCCACCCCGCTCTTAAATCGTGACCTTCTAAAGTTAGTATATGATTGTTTTTTAAATTTGCCCAATCTTTAATTGCTACTAGGTTACAGGCCTCATAATATGTTCTTAAATCTGGCAGACCTAGGCCACCTCTTTTTTTGTCGTCCGTCAGTATTTTCAAGCTAATTCTCGGTTTTTTACTTGCCCATATAAATTTTGTTATGTCGGAATTCCACTTTTTGAACAGGAAATTATTTCTGATCACTGGGATAGTTTGGAAAAGGAATAATAATTGCGGTAACACTATCATTTTGACCAAAGCTATTCTTCCCAAGAAAGAGTGATTTTGATTTCCCCATTTTGCCAGATCTTTTTGGATTTTTTTCCATAAAGTTTCGTAGTTATTCTTTACCAATGCTGCATTACTTTTGGTGACATTAATTCCCAAATATCTTATTTTGGTTGCTATTTGGATCCCTGTTATTTTTTGTAGCTGATCTTTTGCCTTTCCATCCATATTCTTGACTAGCAATTTGGTTTTTTGTTTGTTTAATTTGAATCCTGCTAGAGTCCCGAATTCCTCAATTTTCTTTAGCCAATCTTTAATGTTATTTATGGGATCTTCAATGAAACAAACCACATCGTCCGCGTAAGTTTTTAGTTTGTACTGTTGCTTTAGGATTTTCAGCCCTTTTAGTTTTGTATCACCATTTATATTCCTAATCAGAGTTTCCATAACTAATATAAATAACAAGGGTGATAATGGACATCCTTGCCTTGTTCCCTGGGAGATTTGGATCGACTTTTTTGTTTCCTGTCCATTGATTATTAGTGTAGCCTCTTGATTTTCGTAAATTGCATTAATGACGTTTCTAAAATGGAAACCCATATCTAACTCTTTAGCTAATAATTTCAAGTAACTCCAATTTACCTTGTCGAATGCCTTCTCCGCATCAACAAAGAGTAAGGCCAATTCCTTTTCAATATGTTTTTCATAATATTCGATTATATTGATTAATACTCTGGTGTTATCTTTTATTTGCCGGTTGGGTAAAAATCCTGACTGTTCTTTGGACGTCCATTCTTTTAAAAATTCTTTTAGTCTCTCCGCCATGATTATTGAAAAGATTTTATAGTCATTATTTATAAGTGAATTCAGGCGGTAATTTTTAATTTCGGTTGTTTCAGTGTTTTCTTTGTGGATTAAGACTATATTTGCTTTTTCCCAGGATTTTGGGATGGTTCCTTTTCCTAATATATTATTTGCGATCTCCTGGAATAGGGGACTTATTTCGTTTTGAAAGGTTTTATAGAAAATGGCTGTAAAGCCGTCTGGCCCTGGCGCCTTATTATTTTTTAATTTTCTAATGGCTGTATCAATCTCGGCCATTGAGACTGTTCCATTCAGGACCTCTCTCTGTTTGTCTGTAAGTTTTGCCATATTTAACTCACATAGGTATTTTGTTATTTTTTCTTTGCTTACTTCTGTGCCTTTATATAGATCTTTGTAAAACTTAAGAAATTCATTGGTGATGCTGGTATCTTCTGTGTAAATTTTTCCTTTGATTTGTATTTTTGTTATCAATTGTCTTTGTTTTTGCTTCTTGATTTTATTTGCCAACCACTTGCCAATTTTATTTGCATTTTGAAAATAGTTTACCCTTGTAAATTTCATTTGTTTTTCTATATTTTCATTTTGTAATAATTGTAGTTGTTTGTTAAGGGCAGTTATGATGAGGATTCTTTTTTTTTATCTCTGGGATTTTGTTTTAGTAATTTTTCATTTTCAGTTAGTTTTTCTAGAATTTCTTTAACTTCTTTGTTTCTATTTTTTTTATGTATTGCATCTTGCTGCATGAGGTATCCCCTCATGACCGCTTTCATTGCCTCCCATTGTGTGTATTTCGATGTCTCCTCCCCTTTATTTAAATCTAAATATTCCTGTAATAGAGTCCTGTTCCTTTCAATATCCTTCTCTTTATTTAGCAAGTAGTCTTTTAATCTCCATCTATACGTTGTACTTCTCCCTTTGATTACCAGCTCTATTGCGCAATGATCTGAGAAGGTCCTGGCTAATATGTCTATTTTTTTGACTTTTAAATTTAGAGAGTTTGTCGCCCAGACCATGTCGATTCTTGACCACGTAAGGTGCCTTCCGGAATAATATGTATAATCTCTCATATGCCCTTTGTGCTGTCTCCATGTGTCTCTTAAATTTAGGTTTTCTAATTGTTGTATGAATATCTTGGGTAATTGACTTGTTTTGCTTATATTATTCCTGTCTTTTGTTTTCTTATTGGTTTTATCTAAATAAATGTCTATCACCCCGTTGAAATCACCTAATATTATTAATTCATCCCAGCTTTGCTTGTCTATCTCTTTTTTTAGTTCTCTTATGAATTTGCCTTTTGCTCCATTTGGAGAATAAATATTACAGATCAGCCATTTTTGAGTATTTATTTCAGTAAGGATTCCCACATACCTCCCCTCCATGTCTTTAAAGGCTTGTTTTGCATTTAGCCAGTCTTTTGCATAAATCACCACCCCCTTCTTCTTCCCACTGTTGGATGCGCAGAATTCATTTCCTAGCTTTTTATTTATGAGATGTTTTGTGTGCCTACTTGAGATGTGCGTTTCTTGCAAAGCGATTAAGTCCAGATTTTTTTGTTTCAGAAAGTTGAAGACCTTTTTGCATTTGTTGGGTGAATTGAGTCCATTGATGTTATTGGAGTATATTTTGATGTCCTTACTCATGAGTATTTTCCGTCATTTCCCATTGCAGGATTTCTTGTGGAATTAATTGATAGTTTTCTGGTGAAAACTCCCTTAATCTTTTGTTTTCTCTTTCATCCTGTCTTTTCCATGGGATCCCCTCTTTACATTCTGCTTCTTCTTCTTCGTCCTCCATATTCTCCTCTCTGTCTTCTTTGCTTTCTTGGTTAGCCTCTGAGCTTTCTTGTCTTTTTGGGTCTTTCATTGTCATTTTGGTATGAAATTTCCTTTGCGGAGTTTCATGTGGCTTGGCTTTAATATGTTCCTTGTAAAAGGTTCTTGCTTTCTCTTCTGTATTTAGCCAATACCTTTTATCATTTAGTGTGACTGTGACCCCTTCAGTTCTTTCCCATTTGAATTTTATTTTCATTTTCCTTAGTTCTTCAGTTAAGAAGGCATATCTTCTTCGCTTTGCAAGGGTCTGTTGCGTAACCTCCTTCATTATTGTAATTTTTTTTCTCTTTATAAAATACGGGTTTTTTTTGGCATTTTCTTTCAGTATCTCATCTCTGGTGCTCTTTCGGCAAAAAGAGATTACAACGTCCCTTGCTGTTTTGTGTTTTTTTGCATACCCAGTGGGCACACGGTATACCCTGTCGACGTCATTTCCTATGATTTCAGTGCTAACGTCCATCAAATCTGCTAGCAGTTCAATCATAATTTGTTTTACATTTTCATCCTTGGCCTCTTCTAGATTTCTGATCCTCAGCTGGTATTCCAGTTCTCTATTCTCAATCAATTCCGTCTGTTGCTCTATTTTTTGTGTTATATTTTCCAATTTCAGTATTTTATTTTCCATCTTTCCTTGGTCACTCGTGATTTTTTGATTCTCTTTTTTCATTTTGTCTAGGTCTTCTTGTAGCTTATTTATATCTTTTTTGAGGTCTACTTTCATATTCTTAATTTCTTGCTGCAGTTCTTTGTGTTGTGTGTCTTGTTTTGTTGAAATCTTAATAATCTCAGCCAGTATCTGATTGAGGGTATTCTCTTCTGTCAGGGAGTCTTTCTTTGTTTGGTTTTGTACCTTTGCTAAAGGTGTGCTTTTCCCTTTTGTGCTTTGCATTGCCATTCTGTTGCTTGGTTTTACCTGTCTATAGGTATTGTGTGTGTGTGTATGTGTGTACCTGAACTGTAATTGTAATTCTTACTTCAACTGGTCCTATTGTTGTGTTTCACTCTTTTTACTATTCCTGGCTTTGCCCTTATTTTTCTCTCTTTTAAAAATAAGATTGTGTGTTTCTTCTATGTTTTATTGTGGATATTTTCTTAATGTCTTGTCTTTAGAAATTTTTCCCCCCCAATTTATTTCTTTATTTAATTTTATCTATTTAATTTTTCTCCCTTCGTTGTTCTATTAAGTCTTACCTTCTACTTCCTTCCTATTCTTTGGAGTCCTTTCCTTGTTTGTTGCTTTGTTTATTTATTTGTCCTCTTATTTCTCTATTTCCAGCTTTTATTCCTTTAAGTCCTTCTCGCTTCCGGGTTTGCGTGTTTTTGCGTCGTCACATTGCTGTGTCTTTGCGTCATGGCGTGCCTTCACGTTGCGCCACTTCTTCTCGCGAGGATAGATCCCCCTCTCGTTTGTTCTCTTCTCCTCCCGTCTCG